AAACTCCTATGTGGGTTATTTGTAGTAGGGCCCAGGTCCTCTCTGCAAGAGCAAAAAAAGTACTCTTAAAATCACCGATTTAATTGTCCAGATCCATACGGTCTAGATTGTTAAGTGTCCCCTGAAGGATAAGGTCACCTGATAGAGCTTACTTGTGACCTGTTGTGGTATTAGGGAGAAGTGGAACTTTCAAGATTGAGAGGCCGGTGGAAGAAAGGGAGGCCACTGATGGCAGGCCTTCGACTTTGACAGGGCTTCTGGAGCCTCGCTCTTCTGTCTCTTTGGTTCCCTGACACCACTGGATAATCAATTTTCCCTGTCACACAAATCTGCTGTGATAGACTACCTCACTGCAGGGCAAGCAAACATTTAATGAAACCATGAGCCAAAAATAGTTCCTCTTTGTAACAAACTATAGAAATGATTCCTGAAAGCATAGTCGTGGTAGTTTCTTCTTTATAAGTTATTTCAGATATTTTTGTCATACCAATAGTAAGCTGGCAAACACATTACCCATATATTGTAACCATTATTGTTCAATTTTATAGTAGAGAAAAATTAAATGGAATAGAAGTTAGGGCTACATGGCTTTATTTTTAAAACAATGGGAGGTTTTCTCTTTGGAATATAAGAGTTCTCTTTGCACATAGATCGTAGTGGTTAGTTTATCAATAAGGTTTTTGGTTTTTGTCTGAGGGGTTAATGCACTTCATTGCCTGAAAATGGAGCCTTTTTAGCATAAATAGAATTCATAAATTAAGCCTGCTGTTTTGTCAAAGTGAACAGGACAGCCACCTCCGATAAGAAGCACAATGGCCTGCCAGTTCTCATGAGCAAATTTCTTGCTTTGGGTCATTTAAACTGTGAAGCATTCTTATCTTCCTCTCTCCTGAAGCTGCTCAAAACCTTAGCCCCATAATGTCTCCAAAATCCTTGCACATCAGCGTGTAAGCTTTGATAGCTCTGGAAGACGGGAAAATCTCAACTAGTAAAATGAGGCTGGCTGTTGGGTTAGTACTAGTCCCCTCACAGTGTCTCACAGTGAAGACTCCTCATACCAGCAGCTCTTGTAAGTGAAGATAAAGCCTTGTGAATATTCTGTGAGTATGAAAGCAGTGCGAATATTCTTCTGTGAGCTGTGGTTTCCTGACCTGCTCACCACTGGTTGTTAACCTGTGCTGTGGGTTACAACCCTTTTGGGGGGGTCACATATCAGACACCCTGCATATGAAATATTTACCTTATGATTTGTAATGGTGACAAAACTACAGTTATGGAGTAGCAATGAAAATAATTTTAACTGTACTAAAGTTTTGCAGCGTTAGGACGATTGAACACTACAGCTTATTTGAATATTCACTGATTTGCTTATTATTCCAAAGGTTGTTTGCTGTTAATTGGTTATGTTGCATGAGTACTTGGGGTTTACAAAGCTGTGGAATCTTCAGATCTAGCTCCTCTGGAGTAAAAAAAAAACAAAAACAAAAAGGTTTAGGCTTATTTTTTTTCCCCTATCATGTGTTCTTATACAAGTCCTCAGTCCCTTTTATCCTGAGAAGCCGAATACACCAGAACCTGATTGAGGACCTGTTGTCATCGAAGTAAATGTTCATTCAGAAAATTCAAGGAACTTTTTGATCATTAATAAATGGTCAACAATTATAAATGAAGAAAACTAGCAATGGATGAGGCCCAGAGGTAGAGGCAAAAGCACTAGTGAGAAAAGGGAGAAGATAACGTGAAATAAAGACTACGAAATGGTGTTAACTGCAGACTGGTGGTGTTTGCTACTGAACCCCGTGATGAAATTTTACCACTAAGCTCTGCAGGAAGCAGAGACATTTGGAAGGTCTTGGCTGGAAAGAATGGAGGATGCAGTCTTGTCAAATGTGAGTCCTTCCAAGGAAGGATTTGGACACAGACATTCAGAAAAGAAGGACGATTCGAAAGCACGGAGAAAAATGACCATCCGCAAGCCCGGGGGAACCACCCTGACAATGTCATGCCGTTGGATGCAGACCCTCTCTATTGTAATAATACAGATTTCTGTTTTATAAGCCACCTAGTCTGTGATTTGTTACAGAAACTAATAAAGCATCACTTTATTAGAGAGGAAACTAATAAAGTATCGGATTTGAAAAGCCAATAAAAGACAGTTGCTGGGCAAGTAATGTACTTCCACCATTATAGTAACTGTGCAGTAGAAATTATTTTGTCAAAAAAGCCAGCCCATTCTATGTGATGGGATGCCTTGCTCAACCTTGATGAGAGGGGGAGGGGCTTGGTCCAGCCTCAACTGATCATGCCAGGCTTTGTTGACTCCCCATGGGAGGCCTTACCCTTTCTCAGAAGTGGATGGGGTAGATGTGGGGGAAGGTAGGGGAGGAGGACAGGAGGGATGAGGAGCTGTGCTTGGCATGTAAAATGAATTACAAAAATAGAATACAATAATTAATTTATCTAGACATTAAGGGGTTACAAGTGAGACAACGAATACCTGAAGCATACACGGCGGTTGGGGGTTGGCGGGGAGAGGGAACATGCATGGGGAGTCTAAAGTCAAGTGGGAATGGCTTTTAAGGTTGGAGTCAGGGATTTAAACATTAGGGGAAGTCACAGTAGTGATGCTGATGGGGACAGCACATTCTTATATCGAATACCTTCTTTGTGTCAGGTGCAACATTAAGTGATGTAGCGCTTCTCTGTTTTCAGGGTATTTTTCTGTTATAGCTGTGAACTTGAAGTTCAGAGAAGTTAAGTCTTCTATTCGCTGAAGCTCTCACAAGCTAGAATTTTCAGCGCAAATGTAATCTGAACTCAAGTATGGGCCAACAGAATTGTGTGGACACCTGCTGTTCCTGTAGTGGGTGACGGATGTGTTCAAAGGATCAACTAACCTTAAGAAAGGTCATCTCTGTTCCATACGGCTCATCAAAGTTCTTGAGTCCGTATTAGATCTTGAAATCTTTTTATACTTCCGAAATCGATTACAGTCCATCATGCTATCCTGGAGACTTTGGTACTTAAGCCTAAGTACATTCCTCTGGCCTAAATATTTCAGGTTATTATGAATTTACTTTTGTCCCTCCTGAAACCTTGTTCAGTCACATGGAGAGAAGTTCACATTAGACTCTCCTCCTGTACCTAACATTTCTGAAACAGAAGGAAGGAATTGTGGCTAAGGTCTCTCCAAGGTCACAGCCAAATATATGAAACAGTCAGGAAGGCCACATATTGATTTGCATAAAATATGCCCAGAATTTGCATTCAAATGCATTTTAATCTGCATGAAAGTCTATTATTATGTCTTAAGAGTATAAATTTTATAATTGTTCCTCTTTTAAAGCTGTCACTTATTTTTTTGTGTGTGTGTGTAGCCACGCCCCCTCACTTCTTTCAATCCTTGGCAGGATTTCTGCCTTCTCTGGGAAGCCTTCTTTAGGTGATTTAGCCAAGGTGTGATGCAAGTTTTGGTGCTGTTTACATGGGGAGCTCATCCCAGGAATTCTCCATCATTTCTTGTGCTTGTGTCTGTGAGAGTGTGTGTGTTGGCATGAAGTCAGAAGACAACTTTTGGGAGCGTGTTTTTTCCTTGTACACTTGGATCCAAGGCTTGAACCCAGACCCTCAGGCTTGCCCGTCCATTCTTTTCCTCCATCCGAAAGCCCATTACTAAATTATCTTCCTCTTCCTGACTAATGCCTGTCCTCAGCAATTGCTTTCTACTGCTGACAAAGACAAATGGTATAAGACAGAGTTAGAGAGTCAAGGCAGTCAGTGAATTAAAGGAAAGAGAATGATCTCAACTCTTAGAAACAAAATAGAGGTGAATTTTAGGTGCTAGGATAAGCTGGGGGAAATTTCTGGAAGTATTAATGGGAGGTTGATTGGTGGGATTAAGTTCTCTATCTTCTTACTTAATAGGAAGGTTGGACTAACCTCTCCCACAGGGACTAGGAAAAAGGAGTTCTATTCTAAAGACTGCCTTTCTGGAATGGCTCTCAGGTCTTCTAGTGTTTGTTAAGTTGTCCATCAGAAAAGAGGCTGGGGGGCAGTGAAAGAATTTATGATCATAAGTTTTCTCAAGTTATTCTGTGAAAATGAATGCCAGGGCTGTAGTGTCCGGAATAAACCTGATTACATTTAGTTGGGCTAAAGTCCAGCAGGCAGAAATATAATCACTGACGATTTTATTCATAGTCATATTCCTATGTCTTCCCTCTAGTTACCCTTGTTCTTTAACACCTCTGGTCTGGAGGACTTTCTGTGTTTATTTTATTAATGTAGTGGATGGGGAAAATCCTATGGTGTCAGCTGAGTCATAGCTTCTGTCAGACATGGGATTCAAGGAAAGTAGCTGCCTTTCAGCACAGTGTGCATTATAAAGTTACCTAACGAAAGTTTCCTACCTATCAATGAACTCTGATCAGGAGTTAGTTCACTTTAAATGTGGAAGAAAGAACTTGGTCCTTTATTTTTTGCCTAAGTTTTCAAAAGAAAATCTTCAAGCTTTAATGGAACTGCTGATCTGCAGAAAGCAATGATCTTGCATGATCTCTAGAGTGGAGAAACTGTTGCGTCAATAGTGACACATTGGGAAGCATGAGATGGTTAATGGGCTTGTTCTTCCACTATATTTGTGACCTTGAGGAGGTTAACTCTCGATGGCTGAAGGTCCTCGTCTTTACAAAATGGATAATATAGAATTGTAGCATAGTTGAATTTTTATAAGAAATGGTCCATGAGCCACATTTAAACAATTCCTGTGTATAGAAGACCACAAGCAATCATGGTTCACTGGCCTTTCTGGATTCTGCATGATTCTAAATCTCCTGCTTTACCATATCATGATGAATTGGATGTTATTGAAGCCTCATTAAGTCATCTAAAGTGTTTGAATCAATTAGACATTTCAGTTAGGTATAGAATTGCAGGAAGAGTGATGTGTGAATTTTGGTTACAAACACTATCTGAATTTTTTTTTCTCATTCTATACTACAGATTGAGTCTTACTTCCTTTGCTTTCAATTCGGAAATGCACCTGTTCTCCAGGTATGACAGCCATCTGTTTGGCAATCTGATCCTTGGGTTATCTGAACTTTCCTTTATGATGTTCTTGAGAAAATGATAAAATAAACACCTGTTTCTTTACACAATCTATTGCCTTGGTTTTTTTCTGATTCTTTTTCCTTTTTCATCTTCTGTAGTTTTTTGTCTCTTAACTGATGATACAGTCATGCTCACAGCCTTTACATTTGTATATTCATATCGTCAGAAAAATGTTCAAGGCGATTATGGTGTATGTGAGCCACCCATCACATTCATTGCCCACTGAAGACTCTTTTTTTTTCTTTTTTCTCACCTTCCAGGATATTCTGTTAACCATTTGCCTCATTACTTCTAGTCTTTTTAGATATTCCTGCATGGGTAAAGAGAAAAACATTATGTCTTTATTATTTAATATCTACTTGTTTCTTGCAAAGCCACATAAAAGTTTGATCTTCTGTATACATGAGTGATTGAAAAATTTAGCATATTTCCTGGATTTATATTATAAATTAAGCTAAGTATGTGAGATCAGCTTATTTGCTTTCCTTGATTATTTGTACACTATCATGCCCATAACAAATGATAAAAATTGGATTATATGCCCCGGGAGAATTTGAAGAGTATAACAATTTTATTTCTTTTCATCCCAAATGCAAGTCTCTTTTATTTGTGACCTTTTGGAAAATTGAAGTGACTAACATACAAGCTGAACTTTTTTTTGCCAGTCTCTAATATAAGCAGTTCAAAATATCTAAAAAGAAGCAGATTTACATCTCAATTGCTGTAATAATTCTGAGCGCTTTGTTTGCTTTTGCATATGTGACACTGTTAATTTCTTCTGTTGAAATAAAACACAAATGTACAAGGGGCATCAGGTACTACCTGATGTCAATCAGCCTCTGTGTTGATAATTTGGGCACGGTTCCAACAGATGATAATCTGCAAGGTAATGACTCTACTTCTACTTCCCCAGCTGCTCTTACTAGTGGGTGATTGGTGAGTCTCCATCTCAAAGTGGGGGCAGATGCCATTGTTACACTTGCAAACTCCATCCTTGGCAGAGCTGGAGATGGGGTCTGAAAATGTGTTTTATGTCTGTGAGTTTCTTCTGCATGGCAAAGTTATGTTGGGCATAAAAACAGGAGCAACACATTGTTGTCTGGTTGACGAGGACACCTACAAGAAACTGGAGACCGTCAATCCCATTAAACACTCAGCGCCTTGGAATTTCCTTCACCTTGGTGGAGGGAGTCATTTGTGTCATACTTTTAAAAATCCTTCTGTCTTCCAAGAAAGAAAAGAAGAAGAAAAAAGAAAGAAAAGGAAAAAAGTCTTCAAGGACATAGCAGATAACCAAGCCAGTCCTCTGTATTACTGTGAGAGTCAAGTGCAACTCAGAACTTCCTGCTGCATTCTCCAGATAGTTATTGCTCATCAAGATTCAAGTTCCTTTTGTGACTGACAGCAAACAAGGAAGCCATCTGGATTGATTAGGAGTGCCTCTAACACTCCACATGCTTTCCTTTATATGGAGCCTGTCACCAACAGGACAAACAGGCAAAAATTGGTCTCATTAACATCAAGTCCTCCCAGCTGATTTTGGGAGTAATTAATATTCAACAAAAACTCATTTCCTTAAATGATCAAAAATAGGAGAAAGTTGATTCAAATCTGAGTGTCTTTTTGAGCACTACTGTATTGAGGAATCATTGCTATACAATAAATCATAAAACGGCCTTAGCCGACTCACCTGATGTCAGATGATCACCTAGTGCAGTTATCTTAATACAGCTTTCATTTTATAGTATCATATTTTTCAAAGGACTTTTTATGTTTTAAGCCATTTGCCTACCTTACTTTAAAATAGTTCAATCTTCTTTTTGGTGAGAATATCAGAAATCTTGAGTAGAAACTTCTTACAAAATGAAACACGTCCTAAATCCAACCATGGTGGATACTGCTAATGATTCCTTGTGGGTTTTTTTTTGTCTTATCTTCTAGACTTTTGGCCTCAGAAAAAAACATTCTTAAATTGCTGTTTGAGAATCTTCCTGAATGCCAGTTGCTTATGCACTTACTAAAGACATTTCAATTTGCATAAGGTCTGCATTCCATCAAATTGTAGCCTACCTCCTATCAAGGACATTATTTCTTAAAGTGGCTTTCCCTTTTGACTTTGGTTTCACTGGTGCAGTTTTCTTTGCTCAGTCACTCAGGTTTTAAATCTAGGTCACGATTGCCTGTCAGCTTCTTTCTCCAGGCTCTATGCTCCTTAAGTACTGGGATTGCCTTTCTTTATTCCCCCATGCCTGATGCAGCTTCTGCCACACTAGAGTTGTTGAATAAACATTTTTAGATTAAATGAATATATATATATATATGTTGTAACCTTTACTTGCTCTGCTACTCTTCTTATGATTGAAGAAATTGAATATGTGATCAAAGAGTTTGAATGAAAAAATCGAAAGTTATAAAACTGTATTGAAAGAGCAATCCGTAGGTCCCAGCCCACCCAATTTGTACAGCCCTCCCTTCCAACCTAACTTGAGTAATTGTGCTAGTCAGTTCTTTGTACTGACTTCCAGTTTTATTTTTTAGGTGCAATATATCCAAAAGTGTACACATATATCCTCTTTTGTTTTTGTACATGCATATGGCAAATGCAAATTATCTCAGACAGTTTTAACACCTACTTTCTTTGAAGTATTTGGAAGGTAAATATCGTTACAATTGAATACAAATTTTAAAGTCAGAGGATTACTTGTGGAGTTGAATTTTTCCTTCTACTATTTAGTTGGGCATTACTGCTGAGTTTTCGTTCCAGGCAAGGACATGGTTTTGCTACTTTATTTTAAACCTCATAAGGTATTGACACCATTCATTAACCATTTGGGTTACGGGCTGTTGATAGACATAAACTTGTTACCTCACTTATTATCTTAGAGGGTATAACTTTGTGCAGGTGAATCGTCAGATCTTGACTGCTGGCTTCGACTTCACAATGATGCCACTCTCAAGCTATTCTGAAGGGTGATACTAGATGAACCAGGCTTCTATGAAAGTCATTGTTTGCCTGTAGCAAGTTGTTAAGACAAATTATCCAAATACAGTTCTCTTTTTCCATAAAAATGTTAGTTAATATTTCACTGAACATCTCAAATGTATTTTCTCTATTTTTTGCATGTATTTTCTTCCTTTCTTTTTATGGTCTATTTCTATTCTTTTGATTTAGTTTCAGGTTCATTTACTGTTAACTGCATTACCCAGGATTGACCTTTTTCAATGCCTGCTGTTATATTAACTAATATTATTGTGAAACTATATTTTCTCTGTTCTTCGGTTTCTAGAAAGGATAAGGGGGGGATATTAATACTCATTTTATTAGTTTTTGTCTCTACTTATTGAGTTATATAAAAAGATGCTTTGGGATCTAAAAATTGTTACACAAATATCAAAGAGTGTCACGTGTACTGAAAACAATACAGATGTTCAAATTGAAGTGCTCAAAAAAAACTTAGAACATCTCAGGTTATTGAGAGCTTAACTACCTATTTTTTAAGTTGTTGATCTCACTAACACAATTACATTATTTTACTGATTGGGCATGGGTGCCTAAATATCATCACTGTGCACCCTTGTGTGTGATTGGGTTTGTATGTGATGTGTTGGATAGTAAAAGAATACCCTCACCCTCCCTGGGGAATAATATGGGGATTGGGTGGGAGGCTGGGGGTGGGGACTGGTGGAGGGACAAGGGAGGAGGGGTGGGAGAGGGAGCTGGGATTGGCATGTGAAGCATGCATGTTTCTAATTTAAATAAAAACATATATTGAGAAAAAAAAAGAATACCCTCCAGCTCTTGTCCTGCACATATTTGTAATTAGAAGGTGCTCCCCTCCATTCTCTTTCAACAAAATAAATAATTCTTAGGCTATTTGTCTTAGTTATATTTTCCATTTATTTCTCCTTTGTGCAGTTAGGGGACTGTATTGATTCCTAAGTCCTTTGCTCAGGAATTGCTATCTATAGCATGGTCTCCAAGTTCTCTTGGTACCTTTGAAGTTTCTAGTCACATTCCAGCGAATCAAATCACACACTGATGAATCTTTATCCAGTGGCAAACACTACATTTAGGAATATTATCAAGGACATTTTATAATGAAAGTTAAACTTAAATTCTATATCAAAACTAAATGTGCCAATCTCTTGCTCTCTGAACACTGTCCAGCTATGGGTCTCTGTGTCAATTAACATCCAGTTATGCCAGCACCATTTGTTGAAGATGCCTTTTTTCCCATTGTATAATTTTAGCTTCTTTTTCAAAGATCAGGTGTTCAAAGGTGTGTGTGTTAATATCAGGGTCTTCAATTTGATTCCATTGATCTACCTGTCTGTTTTTGTGCCAATACCAAACAGTTTTCAGGACTATAGCTCTATAGTAGAGCTTGAAGTCAGGGATGGTGCTGCCCCCTGAAGTTCCTTTATTGTACAGGGTTGTTTTGGCTATCCTTGGTCTTTTGTTTTTCCACATAATTTGAGGATTGTCCTTTCAAGGTCCATGAAGAATTGTGCACTGGGATTTTGATAGAGATTGCATTGAATGTGTTGATTGCTTTCGGTAAGACTGCCATTTTTACTGTGGGATCCTGCCTATCCAAGAGCATGTGAGACCTTTCCATTTTTCTGGTATCTTTTTTAATTTCTTTCTTTAAAGACTCAAAGTTTTTGTCATACAGGTCTTTCATCTGTTTGGTTAGAGTTACCCCAAGGTATTTTATGTTGTTTATGGTATTGTGATTTCTTTCTAGGCCCCTTTATTGTCTGCATATAGTAGGCCTACTAATTATTTTGAGTTAATTTTGTATCCTGCCACCTTGCTGAAAGTGTTTATCAGCTGTAGGAGTTCCCTGGTAGAATTCTTTGGGTCACTTATGTCGACTATCTTATCATCTGCAAATGGAGAAAGTTTGACTTCTTCCTTTCCAATTTGTATTCTCTTTGAT